TCCCCCGCGGTGAGGACGGTCCCCCGCGGTGAGGACGGTCGCCCCGCGGTGAGGACGGTCCCCCGCGGTGAGGACGGTCCCCCGCGGTGAGGACGGTCCGCCCCGCGGTGAGGACGGTCCTCCACGGGGAGGACGGTCCCCCGCGGTGAGGACGGTCCCCCGCGGTGAGGACGGTCCGCCCCGCGGTGAGGACGGTCCCCCGCGGTGAGGACGGTCCCCCGCGGTGAGGACGGTCCGCCCCGCGGTGAGGACGGTCCTCCGCGGTGAGGACGGCCCGCCGCGGTGAGGACGGTCCCCCGCGGTGAGGACGGTCCCCGAGGTGAGGACGGTCCGCCCCGCGGTGAGGACGGTCCCCCGAGGTGAGGGACGGTCCCCCGCGGTGAGGACGGTCCCCCGCGGTGAGGACGGTCCGCCCCGCGGTGAGGACGGTCCCCCGCGTGAGGACGGTCCCCCGAGGATGAGGACGGTCCGCCCCGCGGTGAGGGCGGTCCCCCGAGGTGAGGACGGTCCCCCGCGGTGAGGACGGTCCCCCGCGGTGAGGACGGTCCCCGCGGTGAGGACGGTCCGCCCCGCGGTGAGGACGGTCTGCCCCGCGGTGAGGACGGGCCCCCGGGTGAGGAACGTGCCCCCGCGGTGAGGAACGTCCCCCCCCCCACCGAGAAGAGGACCAACCCCCCACCGGTGAGGCGGTCCGCCCCGCGGTGAGGCGGTCCGCCCCGAGGTGAGGACGGTCCACCCACGGTGAGACCGTCCACCACGGTGAGGACGGTCCCCTGCGGTGAGGAGTCCCCCCAGCGGTGAGAGACGGTCCCCCCCGCGTGAGGACGGTCCACCGCGGTGAGGACGGTCCCACGCGGTGAGGACGGCAGCCCCGCGGTGAGGACGGTCCCCCCGCGCTGAGGACGGTCCGCCCGCGGTGAGGACGTCCCCCGCGGTGAGGACGGTCCCACCGCGGTGAGGACGGTCCTTCGCGGTGAGGACGGTCCGCCCGCGGGTGAGGACGGTCCCCCGAGTGAGGACGGTCCCCCGCGGTGAGGACGGTCCGCCGCGGTGAGGACGGTCAGACCCGCGGTGAGGACGTGGGTTTCTGCCCCGCGGTGAGGACGGTCCAGACCGGCCAGACCCGGGAGGAAACCGGGATGGAGTGAGGAGCTGAGGCCAGCCTCCCAGCGAGAGGACGCAGACTCCGAGGAGGCCAGCTCTCCCGCTGGGCCCCCCCGGTCCCCGATGTGTCCCCCACGGGAGCCGAGGCCCCCTCCGCCTTCCGGAAAGCGCTGAGAACGCTGCCCCAGGTTGGGGTCTGAGCACCGTGACCAAGGCCACTCGGTCTGAGTTGATTAACAGTGACCATCCCGGGCCCCTCTCCCGGGGACGGCGCGGGCCACAGAGAGGTGCCCCCTGCGGGCTCTGGGGGGGATTAACCGTCCCCTGACCTCCTGGTCCGAGTGGAGGAAGACACCCCGGGAGTGATGGCTGGAGGGGCCTGAGCCTGACAGGCAGCCACAGAGGGCCTTCCCGGCCCGCCCCGCGGTGAGGACGGTCCCCCGCGGTGAGGACGGTCCTCCGCGGTGAGGACGGTCCGCCCCGCGGTGAGGACGGTCCCCCGCGGTGAGGACGGTCCTCCACGGTGAGGACGGTCCTCCGCGGTGAGGACGGTCCGCCCCGCGGTGAGGACGGTCCTCCGCGGTGAGGACGGTCCCCCGCGGTGAGGACGGTCCCCCGCGGTGAGGACGGTCCGCCCCGCGGTGAGGACGGCCCGCCCGCGGTGAGGACGGTCCTCCGCGGTGAGGATGGTCCCCCGCGGTGAGGACGGTCCCCCGCGGTGAGGACGGTCCGCCCCGCGGTTGAGGACGGTCCTCCGCGGTGAGGATGGTCCCCCGAGGTGAGGACGGTCCCCCGCGGTGAGGATGGTCCGCCCCGCGGTGAGGACGGCCCGCCCCGCGGTGAGGACGGTCCCCCGCGGTGAGGACGGTCCCCCGCGGTGAGGACGGTCCCCCGAGGTGAGGACGGTCCCCCGCGGTGAGGACGGTCCCCCGCGGTGAGGACGGTCCCCCGCGGTGAGGACGGTCCGCCCCGCGGTGAGGATGGTCTGCCCCGCGGTGAGGACGGTCCAGACCGGCCAGACCCGGGAGGAAACCGGGATGGAGTGAGGAGCTGAGGCCAGCCTCCCAGCGAGAGGACGCAGACTCCGAGGAGGCCAGCTCTCCCGCTGGGCCCCCCCGGTCCCCGATGTGTCCCCCACGGGAGCCGAGGCCCCCCTCCGCCTTCCGGAAAGCGCTGAGAACGCTGCCCCAGGTTGGGGTCTGAGCACCGTGACCAAGGCCACTCGGTCTGAGTTGATTAACAGTGACCATCCCGGGCCCCTCTCCCGGGGACGGCGCGGGCCACAGAGAGGTGCCCCCTGCGGGCTCTGGGGGGATTAACCGTCCCCTGACCTCCTGGTCCTAGTGGAGGAAGACACCCCGGGAGTGATGGCTGGAGGGGCCTGAGCCTGACAGGCAGCCGCAGAGGGCCTTCCCGGCCCGCCCCGCGGTGAGGACGGCCCGCCCCGCGGTGAGGACGGTCCCCCGCGGTGAGGACGGCCCGCCCCGCGGTGAGGACGGTCCCCCGCGGTGAGGACGGTCCGCCCCGCGGTGAGGACGGTCCCCCGAGGTGAGGACGGTCCCCCGCGGTGAGGACGGTCCGCCCCGCGGTGAGGACGGTCCTCCGCGGTGAGGACGGTCCCCCGCGGTGAGGACAGTCCCCCGCGGTGAGGACGGTCCGCCCCGCGGTGAGGACGGCCCGTCCCGCGGTGAGGACGGTCCCCCGCGGTGAGGACGGTCCCCCGCGGTGAGGACGGTCCCCCGCGGTGAGGACGGTCCGCCCCGCGGTTGAGGACGGTCCTCCGCAGTGAGGACGGCCCGCCCCGCGGTGAGGACGGTCCCCCGCGGTGAGGACGGTCCCCCGAGGTGAGGACGGTCCGCCCCGCGGTGAGGACGGTCCCCCGAGGTGAGGACGGTCCCCCGCGGTGAGGACGGTCCCCCGCGGGGAGGACGGTCCGCCCCGCGGTGAGGACGGTCCCCCGCGGTGAGGACGGTCCCCCGAGGTGAGGACGGTCCGCCCCGCGGTGAGGGCGGTCCCCCGAGGTGAGGACGGTCCCCCGCGGTGAGGACGGTCCCCCGCGGTGAGGACGGTCCCCCGCGGTGAGGACGGTCCGCCCCGCGGTGAGGACGGTCCTCCGCGGTGAGGACGGTCCCCCGAGGTGAGGACGGTCCTCCGCGGTGAGGACGGTCCCCCGAGGTGAGGACGGTCCGCCCCGCGGTGAGGATGGTCTGCCCCGCGGTGAGGACGGTCCGCCCGCGGTGAGGACGGTCCCCCGCGGTGAGGACGGTCCCCTGCGGTGAGGACGGTCCCCCGAGGTGAGGACGGTCCCCCGCGGTGAGGACGGTCCCCCGCGGTGAGGACGGTCCGCCCCGCGGTGAGGACGGTCCTCCACGGTGAGGACGGTCCCCCGCGGTGAGGACGGTCCTCTGCGGTGAGGACGGTCCGCCCCGCGGTGAGGACGGTCCCCCGCGGTGAGGACGGTCCTCTGCGGTGAGGACGGTCCGCCCCGCGGTGAGGACGGTCCCCCGCGGTGAGGACGGTCCCCCGCGGTGAGGACGGTCCTCTGCGGTGAGGACGGTCCGCCCCGCGGTGAGGACGGTCCCCCGCGGTGAGGACGGTCCTCCGCGGTGAGGATGGTCCGCCCCGCGGTGAGGACGGCCGGCCCGGTGAGAAGTTGCCGCATCCTCAAAGCCTCTGGTGGCTTCCGTGTCCAGACGTCGCCATGACACGAACCACAAACTTACTGAGCGCCCCATGCCCCTGCAGTGCAGTTGGGGGGCCTTGGACTGGACCTTGGAGGGAGGAGGAGGGCGGAGGAGGGGGTGATGTGACAGGGGATGCCCTCCTCCAGGGACCCTTAGGCCTCACCGCCTGTGTGTGCTGGTCCGTGGCCGATGCTGGGACACTTACAGAGGACACGTCTGGTCCCGGGCAGGGTCCCGGGCAGGGGTCCCGGGTAGGGGTCCCAGGCAGGGTTCAGGCAGGGTCCTGGGCAGGGGTCCCAGAGGGACACGGAGGTGGACAATCTGAGGTCATCCCCTCCCTCTGCCGCCTGCATTCACGTGGAGATGACTGAACAGGCAGGAAGGGGGGGGGGGGGAGAGAGAACCGACAAACATGTGTGCACACATGCACAGTGTGGACACGGACAATCGGTGGTGAGAGGGAGGCGGGGGCTGGACGAGGTCAGTGGGGGGAAGGTAATACTCCCAACAACAAAGATGTCCAGGGCCCTGCGGGAGGAGGGAGGGAGGGAGGGAGGGAGGAGGCCGCTGGGCAGTGGGCGCTGGGCCTGGCGCCGTTGGCGGGACCACGGCCTCCGGGCAGGCAGCCCCGACCCTCCCCCTGCCGGTCACTCGGGATCTGGAATCCCCGCGTTCCCGCTGCTGCTTTTCTTTAATATGTGGTTTGTATTTTTTTTTAATATATTTTCATCGATGTCAGAGAGGAAGAGAGTGAGAGATAGAAATATCCATGATGAGAGAGAATCGTGGATCGGCTGCCTCCTGCACGCCCCCTACTGGAGGTCGAGCCCACAGCCCAGGCCTGTACCCTTGACTGGAATCGAACCTGGATCCTTCAGCCCACAGCCCAGCGCTCTATCCACTGGGCCACATCGGCCAGGGCCCGGCTGCTTCTACCACCTCCCCACCCCACGCACAGGAGGCGCGCACCCAGACACGAAAGCCACGCGGGAGGCGCTCTGCGCAGTCAGACAGGTTTATTGAGGCTGGGACGGGCCCTCCCCCGCCCCGGGGGGCCGGAGGGGGGAGGCTGGGGGAGCGCCCGAGGGAAGGCGGGTGTGGGGTCCAGGCTGCTGCCTAGGTCCCGACGGGCACCCCCAGGCTGGGAGCCGCGGGCAGCCCTCAGCGTTCATCTCCGTGCCCGTCCTGGTCGGGGTGAGTGGGGGACGGGAGCCGGTGAAGGCGGGGACGGGAGCCGGTGAAGGAGGGGACGGGAGCCGGTGGCGGGCCGGGGCCGGCGCTCAGTACAGGCCGTAGGGCCAGTACCGCCGGTAGTTCAGGCAGCCGCCGTAGCCGTAGCCGCAGCCGTAGCCCACGGGCGAGTAGGTGCTGCCGTAGCCGCAGCCCACGCTGTAGCCCAGCGGGTAGCCGTAGCTGCCCCAGTAGCAGCCGGGGAAGACGGCGCCCGAGAAGTTGCCGAAGCCGCCGCAGAGCATGGCGTCCGTGTGGCTGTCCGAGTGGCGGTGGAGGAGGCGGAGTGGAGGTGCTGGAGGAGCTGGTGCTGTGCTGCTCCCGGGGCCGCCCTTTTATCCCCGGCGGGCGGGCCGGCGGGCGGGCGGGGCGGCGGGCGGGCGGGCGGCACGCCGCGTGGCACCGTCTGCGTCCGGGAAGCTCGTTAACGGCTCTCAGATGTCCTTCCAGCGGAGGGCGCTCCCGGCGGGTCCCCGGGGGGGGGGGTCTCCCTGGATGGGGGGGGGGGGGCTGGACGTGGGACGAGGCACGGACACGCGTGGCCTGAGGCGCCCCGTGGGCCGTGGCCAGCCCCGTGCCAGCCTCCTGCCCCGGAGCCCACAGACACGCAGGGACACGCAGGGACACCAGGAGCTCCGGGAGCCGTGCTGAGTCAGCGTGAGCCGTGCTGAGTCAGCGTGTGGATGAAAGCTTAGCACATGGGGCCCCTCAGAGCCAGGTCAGGGTTACTGGGTGAAGGGGTTCCCACAGATGTGACGGGAGATCTGACGGGTGGGGGGCACTCGGACCACATACAGACCTGGGACACAGAAACCCACACCTGACCCCCCCGAGCCTGCTGGCCGGGGCACCGGTGCCCTTAATTAAAAGGGTTCGGGGGGGGGGGGGGCGGCAGTGGGCAAGGCCCTGCGACGGGCTCGTCGGAAAGACCCTTTTCATTTATTTCCTCTGCTGAGAGCCCCCGTTTGGAAACTGGTTGGATGTTTTTCTATCACAGACCTCTCCCCATGACCCCAACATCACACTGCCGCCCGCGGCCCAGACGAGCCCGCATGCCATTGTGAAGAAATAAGAACGTTTAAATTAAAAGTGTTAAATGTGCGACTTGATCCTAGACACAAATTATCAAACAGCTGTGATGTGCGGGTCTGATAAACTTTTTAAAGCAAATATTGAAAAAAATAACAGAAAAACACGTGTGGAATTTTACCCTACAGTGTGTGTGTGTGTGTGTGTGTGTTTTATTTCCTATCAGGCGAATGAAGCCAGACGCCTGTCCAAGCTGACGGCCTGGGACGGCCAGGTAACGCCGTCAAATGGACAGTTTCCTCTCCGGGGCCACACGCCCGGGGCAGGGAGCAAAGCCGCCCCTCTCCCCGCAGACGTTTGGTCTCAAATGGGAAGTCACAGAGCGACACCACCCATCAGAGCAAGAGGAACAACCGTAATAATCTGAACAATAAAGACTTATTTAAAGAAAAGAAAGAAGAAAGAAAGAAAGAAAGAAAGAAAGAAAGAAGAAAGAAGGAGGAGGGAGTGAGGGGAGGAGGGGAGGGAGGGATGGAGGGAGGAACGAAAAAGGAAGGAAAGAAAGAAAGAAAGAAATAAGAAGAGGAGAAAGGAAGAAAGATAGAAAGCAAGGAAAAGGAGAGATAGGAGAGGGAGAGAGAGAGAGGGATGGAGGAGTGGAAGAAAGAAAAGAGAGAGAGAGAGGAAGAAGAAGAAGAAGAGAGGGAAGGAAGGAAGGAAGAAAGCCGGTGTGAAGAAAGAAGAAGAAAGGAAAAAGAAGAAAAGGAGAAAGAAAGAGAAAAGCAGAAAAGAAAGAAAAGAAAAAGAAAGCAAAAGGAAGAAAGAAAAGAGAACGAAAAGAAAAAGAAAGAAAGAAGAAAGAAAGAAGAGAAGAAAGAGAAAAGAAGAAGGAAGAAAGGAAAGAAGAAAGAAGAAAGAGAGAAAGAAAGGAAGGGAAAAGAAGGAAAGAAGAAGGAAAGAAAAGGAAAAAGAGAAAGAAAAGAAAGGAAGAGAAAGAAAGAAAGGAAGAGGAAACAAAGAAAAGAGAAGGAAGGAAGAAGGAGGAAAGAAAGGAAGAAGAAAGGAAAGAAGGAAAGAAGAAAGAAAGAAAGAAAGAAAGAAAGAAAGAAAGAAAGAAAGAAAGAAAGAAAGAAAGAAAGAAAGAAAGAAAGAAAGAGAAAGAAAGAAAGAAGAAAGAAAGGGAAACAGAAGGCTAATTGGGGTCGGGCGGCCCGGGTGGTTGTCCCCGGGCGGCCAGCGCCCTGCAGGAGGGACGCAGCGTGCCACCGGAGGGCGGGGCCTGAGGCTCGGGCGGTGTGTGACCCACTGACCCCCCACCTGCTCAGGATTTTCCTCCGGCTACCGCGGCCGAGGCGGAAATTCCGGGGGCACCGGCGACCGCAGGGTGAGCCCGGGATGGGGAGACGCGTGGACGACGCAGAGCTGCACAGCGTCCCCCCCGCTAATGGGCGGTGACCGCAGAGGCCGCGCTGCCCTCCGCCCCACAGCCCGGCCCCGGTGACTCAGCATCCAGGTCCTGTGGCCACCGCTCAGCCGCCAGGGAGCCAGTGCCCGTCACCCCTAAACCGCAAACACCCCAAAGCCAGCCCTGCCGGAGGCACACAGGAGCACGGCACCTCCCACGTGGTCACCCCCTCGGCCTCATCGGACAGAGGGGCGGGCGGGCGGGCGGCCGGGGGCAGAGAGAGCCCGGGCGGAGGCTGGCAGCACTGCACCCGCCATGGCCAGACGGTCTGAACGCGCCAGCGTCAATTACGAGGCTCAGTTCCAACGCGTTCCTCTGCCGCCTCTTTACCAGCTCAGAGGCTGGCTTTGCCGCGGGCAAAATACCAGCTGGGTGTCTGCGCAGCAACGGTGAACAAGAAGTGAAATATGAAGTCTTCCCGGCCTCTGGGCCCGTGGCTGAGCACCGACCTGTGAGCCAGGAGGTCAGGGTTCGATGCCCCGTCAGGGCACAGGCCCGGGTTGGGGGCTCCATCCCCAGTGTGGGGCGTGCAGGAGGCAGCCGGTCCATGATTCTCTCTCATCCCTGATGTTTCTCTTTTTCTCTCCTTCTCCCTTCCTCTCTGAAATCAATAAAAATTATATATTTTTTTTAAATATGATGTGTTTTAAAAACTTGAACCCCACTTACAGGATCTAAGTTTTGTCTAGAAATTCTAACACAAAATTAATTAAGGGGAAAACAGTATCACCAAATCATTCAACAACGAAACGAGCAGCTGGCTGAGTCCTGCTTTGGGCCGAAGGAAGCGTGACTCTGACTCGGTTTACCCCAGGGGGACCCAGGCTGCGGGGCCTGAAGCTCACGGTGTGGGAGCCCCCTCTGTGGAAAAGAATGCAGCCCTGAGATATAAATCACCCTGGCCGGTGCGGCTCAGTGGATAGAGCCTTGGCCTGAGGACTGGAGGGTCCCAGTTCTATTTCAGTGGAGAGCATGTGCCCAGGGGCATGCTGAGTTGCAGGCTCGATCCCCAGACGTGGCCAGGGCACACGCAGGAAACAACCACCCGATGTGACTCTCTCACATGGATGTCTCTCTGTCTCTCCCGCTCCCTCCCTCTCTCTTGGAAAAACAAACAAACATACAGACACGTAGATGCATGTAAGTAAACTAGAGGCCGGTTGCAGGAAGATTCCTGCAGTAGGGCTCTGGCAGCCGTCTGCTTCCTTCCCTCCTCCCCGCTTGCTTGCTTCTCCGCAGCTTTGCTCCCTTCTGCAGTGCTCGGCTTCCTTCTAAGGTATCTCCAGTCTTCGCTCTGCGCCTGGATATGCAAATGAACCACCATCTCAGTTGGGTTGATTTGCATACTTGCTCCTCATTGGCTTGTGGGTGTGGCTTGTGGGCGCAGTGGAGGTATGGTCCATTTGCATGCTTTCTCTTTTATTAGATGGGATAGCAAATAGTTGTTTAAATGTTACCAGGACTCACACAAAAAATTAAACACCGACAAAAAAACTCTGCAAACACCTCTCTCTGCCGAACTGTCTGACAGGCTTCTGCAGTGCGTGCCCATGGGCCAGCTCAGCTCCGCCTGCCGATGAGTCCTGGCCGATGTGACCGCCATGTTCTCGCTGGACCAGGACCCCTGGTCCTGCACCCCCATTGCCACAGACTCAGGGCGCATTGGGGAGGGGCCAGCAGCAACCCCTGGAGCCGTCCCCCCACCAGGACGGCTCGAAACGGCTTCGTCAGATGCACAGTGACTGCCGACTGTCAGTCTGCCCCCAGCACCCAAGTGACCTGTGTCTCCCACTCCCTCCCCACCCAGACCCCAAATGCCTCCCAGCGGGCAGGAGGTGGGACCCTGGGGGCCCCCCAGCAGCTCCGTCTACACCAACAGCAGCCAAAGGGCCCAACTGAGGCACGTCTCTCCCAAACTCGGGGTCACATGACAGCAGGTTAAGGAGGACGACCATCTGTTCTGTGCAATGACGCTGTGGGGCTGTCCGTGGCCGGGTGCTAAGTTTAAAGTTCATGACTCCTTTCTCTTTTTAACAACTGTGGGATGTTTCTGCTCGTGTGTCTTTGACTTCAGACAAGATCTGACGTAAAAAAAAGAGAAAGGAGTCTTGCTCTTTGCTTTCCTGTGAAGGAACAAGAGAAGTCTCGTGTAACGATGTTGACGTGCAGTCCTGTCCACTGTGGGCAATTAAACCGTGTGGTCTTCATGCCACGTTCTCAGCCTCGAAATGTGATCACTCACCAAAAGCGAGAGAGAAACCACAGGGAGCGTTTTAAAAGGGAGTTTAGAACACGTGTCAGCGGGAACTCTACAAAACGAGGTGTCTTCCCTGCACCTTTTAAACGTGCGTTTGTGCAGACACTGATGGAGCCTCTGCTGAGTTCCGGCCGCCGAGGCCCGCGGAGGTGAGCTCTGAGGTCTTTGGGACGATTAGAGATAATGAAACAGCCAGTGCAGCCCTGCCAGTGTGGCTCAGTGGATAGAGCGTCGGCCTGCAGACTTAAGGGTCCCGGGTTCGATTCCGGTCAGGGGCATGTATCTTGGTTGCAGGCTCTTTCCCAGCCCGGGCCCTGGTCAGGGTGTGTGCAGATGTGTTCCTCTCACATCTCCGTGGGTGGTCTTTCTGCCCCCACCCCCACCCCATTAGCTGAGCCCGCCTCTCTGTGACAGAGGCCCCGTCGCCGCCGACTGGGACTTCCTCCCGCCCCGTCCATGTGATTGACACCTGCCCACCGACGGGCCGCCTCCAGGAGAGGAACACGGTGCTGGGACTTGCC